GACAGTTACTGACTCATGGCCATAATTTGTTTATATATTTTCTTGAATCCCACTTCCCACCAATTGTATTGAAATTTATCCTGTGTACATATCATAGATGTTTTAGTGTATATCTCAAAAGATAAGGACTTTAATTTGCTAATAATAATAATACTATTATCACACCTAAAAAAAATTCTCTACAGTTTTTATTTTGGGTTTTTTTTTTTTTTTTTGTCTTTTAGAGATGAGGTTTCACTATGCAGTTTAGGCTGGCCTTGAACTCACTTTGTAGCCCAGGCTGGCCTCACATGTGCAGCGATCTTTCTGCCTTAGCCTCCCAAGTGCTCCCTATCAGTTTTAATGTGTACTAAGTGTTTACATTTTTTTTGTTGTTGTCATACATACACACACAAATACACATCTAGACACGTGCATGTGCATCCATGACATTTTGTTTGTATTGGGATCTACGTATTTCATACATTATGAGTGATTGGTATCTCACATTATTATTTTTGCAGTATTGAGGATTGAACCCAGGCCTTTGCAGTGAGCTACATCCAAAGCCCCTTTTAAAATAATTTTTTAGTGTACTCCTGTAATCCCAGAACTCAGGAGGCTGAGGCAGGAGGATCACAAAGAGTTGAAGGCCATGCTGGGCTACATAGTGAGTTTTAGGTCAGCCTGGACTATATAGTGAAACCCTGTCTCAAAAAATTTTTTTTATTTTGTTTTTAAATTTTGAGACAGGGTCTTCCTAGGTTGCTTAGGCTGGGCTTGAGCTTGCCATCCTCCTTCCTCAACCTTCCAGAATGTTAGCGTTACAGACATAGGCCACCATGTATTATTTTTGTTGACTTTGTAAGGATTTTGAGCAAAGAGACTGAATTTATGTTCTGTAGATTTCCTTTTTTTATTTTTTATTTTTATACTGGGAATCAAACTCACGATCTCACACTTGCCAGGCAGGTGCTGTGCCGCTGAGCTAAATCCCCAGCCCCTCTGTAGATTTTCTTTATAGCCTGGATTTTCTTGATTCTAACTCCATGGCATCTAATATTTTTTTCTGTTCCTTTTTTTTGTAATACACTCATCGCTTGATTAATCTCATTCATGTGATTATTTTATAGAATCCAAAGATGTATTCTTTCAAGAAAGGATGTTTTTCTACATTTGATCTTAGCCAAAAGGTCAAGAAACAATGAGATTGTTTTTATTTGTAATGTTACCAATTAATTGTGAGTATCACCTATATCCATTGGTGCAGTGTTGGGATACTCATATTTTATCATGCTTTTGTTCATTAAGTTTAATACTAGCCAGGTGTGGTGGTGCACACCTGTAATGCTAGCACTAGGGAGGCTGAGGCAGGATGATCACTGAGACCCCCATCTCAGAAACAAAACCAGTAGAATACATTTATAAAAAGGAATTTCCCATATCAACTGAGGAGTAGGTCATATAGGAAAGGCAAAATAAATACTTGTTTTCTTTTGAATTTTTGCTCTTTTCCAAGTAAAATATCTACTTTCTTCTAACGGTTTTGACCAGTGAGTTTTGTTTCGGTATCATTATGAACTGATTGATGAACTACATTTGTGTTTGGCCTTGTTCATTGTTTGCACACCTGTACCCTCAGCTGCTTGGGTGGCAGGAACAGGCGATTACAAGTTTAAGGCCAGCCTGGGCAATTTAGTGATACTTTTGTCTTAAAATAAAAATGGCTGAGTATATAGCTTGGCACTCTATGGGCTCAGTCCCCATCACTGCAAAACAGAATAGAACAAAACAGTTCTTATGTTTCATTCGCAGACTACCCGTGCTCATGCTGTAAAGGTCCTATTTTAAGCCAGTGGGAGCTTATTTGAGCCTATTCTCAGTCTTTTTGACATAACCTAATACACGTTGAGAATCCCTTGTCTGAGATGTTTGGGACTCGAAGTGTTTCATATTTTGGATTTTCCTAGGTTTTGGAATGTTTATATAATGAAGTAGTTCATAGTTTGTTCACTATCAAGAAAGACAGTGTTCCAGATTTGTCTTGTATTTTATTTTGCTGGGAAGTGGTGTTTACTCAGTGAGACTGCTGGGCATTATGACAAGCATCTTCAGTGTACAGGAGTAGAAAATTTTATTTTTAAACATCAAAATATACCTTGACTTCTTTATGGTTGAACAGTACACTTGTCCCTCTATATCTGTAGGTTTGGCATCTAGGTATTCAATCAGCTGCAAATCAATATTCAATAAAACTTTATCTTTTCTGAACTTATATTGAATTTCACTCTTTGAGTATTACAGTATAGCAAATAGGTATCACTTATACTTTATTAGATAAGTAATCTAGAGATGGCTTAAAGTGTATGGAAGGATATGCATGTCATATGCAAATACTGTGTTTTGTTCAAGGCCTTTGTGTGTGCGTGTGTGCTTGCGCACTGTAGGTCAAACTCGGTGTTGTGTGTGCTAGGTGCTTCTCTGTCTCTGAGTTACTGCACCAGCTACCTAAGGGACTTGAGCATCTGTGGATACCAGCGGACACCTGTGCAAAAAGAGATTTCATTTGCTCGTACAGATTGGGTACCCATGCCAAAAATTCCTTTTTTTTTTTTTTTCAGTCAAAAATTCCACTTCTCAACTATTCCAGTTTAGTTCATTCCACACACTTAACAACAGCATTAGGATAACCGTGCAAGTTTTTTTTTTTTTTTTTTTTGGTTTTTCTCTGGTACCAGGAACCGAACTCACGACCTTGCGCTTGCCAGGCAGGCGCTTTTGCCGCTGAGCTAAATCCCCAGCCCCAACCGTGCAAGTTCTATTCCTGATGCTATAAATAGTAAAAAGCAGTAAAAACAAGAGGGTTTTTGCCTTTTTTCTTTTGATATGTCCCACTAGAAACGAGTGACTTTTGTTTTTTTGGTAACGGGAATCAAACTCAGGACTGCGCTGCATCCTCGGTCTGACGAGTGACAGTTAAAGCACTTGTGATGGTGTTCTTTGTGTGTGCCTTGGCTACCAGTGGAATATGTAGGTTTATTTCATTTTAACTTTTTTAAGGAATTGCTTTAATTTTATACATACTTATATTTATGGAATTCCAAAGATAAAGCTACAAATCCTGGTATGTCCAAAGAAATCTAACTTCCAACTCTATACCCTGCATTATGGTTCTTTGTTCATTATTTATGTTTTATAATTTTTTATATCTAAATTTTATATTTTGTTTTTCCTAAATTTTTAAATATAACGAAGTATATTTTAATTTCTTCTTCCTCAGATAATGACAGTATACTGTATATATGCCTCTACCTTCCTTTTTCACTTGACTCTTAGTAACTTGTAGAGATTATTTCTTGTCAGTTGCATACTGTTTTATTGTGGGTCTGTCATGTTGTTTCTTCAACCATTTCTCTAGTGGTAGAATTTGGATTGCTTCAGATACTTTGCTGTCTTATTATTATTATTTTTGGAGACAGGGTCTCTCTCACTATGTAGTTTAGGCTGGCCTTGAACTCAGTATATAGCCCTGGCTGGCCTTGAACTCACAGTGATCCTCCTGCCTCAGCCTCCTGAATGCTGGGATTACCGGCGTACACCAACACACTTGGCCTTTGCTTTTATAAATAGCTGTTGTGGTGAAAATATTGACATAGATTCTGGACAGTGTAATTGCTAGGAGAAATAAAAAAGTACCTTTAATATTTTGGAGTTTATGCTTAAGGATAATTCATGAATAAGCCTGAACATATGTATTCTTTTCACATTTTATTACATATATGTTGATACACTTTTACAAAAGTTATCATGGATATATAGCTTCTATTCTTATCTGGTCTATTTTAATTTATTTAACCAGTGTCTTAATGTTAGATGGCTTAGTTATAATTTTATATTGTAAGAGTGTTTCAGTGATAACTTTGGGTTCTAGATGTGTACACACATGAGTATATCCAGGCATGTATGAGGTGGGATCTGAAAAACACTGAGTGCTTAATTAAAAAAAAATGAGTAAAGACACACTGCTATTAGCCTTCCTCAGCACACTCTCCGTTGCTTCAAACACTTACCTTGTTATTCTTGTTACTTTCTGAAGCAGTTTTGGAAGTCCTGTTTGTGAGTGTCTTCATTGTGCTGTCACGGCTTTGGCAAAGTCCAGAACTGATAGAAAACGTTTCCCTTTATGGTTGTTTTGACTTCGGGGAGGAGCCAAAGGGGCACGGTGCCAGATCTGGTGAATAAGGCGGATGGGGATGTACTGTAATGTTTTCACATGGCAGAGTTTTTGTTGGGCGATACTAAGCAACCGCACTTACCGTATATTTGATTACATCTTGTAAGGACACCCACAAAAGAGGACTTTTAGAACTGCTTCAGACAGTAGCAAGAAAGATGAGATAAGTGTGATCAAATCGAGTGGGAGTATTTTGAGATAGATTAATGGGAATGTGTTTTTCATTGTAATAAGTTTTAAAAATTTAAACACCTTATATTTTTATTACTCCTTGCCTAAATCTATGTGTGTGTATATATATACTGTGTGTATATATATTTATATACATATGTGTGTTTGTATACATATATGGGATACTGTGTGTATATATATTTATATACATATGTGTGTTTGTATACATATATGGGAGGAAGGAGGAAGGGAGAATTGTTTGTATTTAAGATTTCTCTGTTCACGCTGGGCATGGTGGTGCACACCTGTAATCCCAGCACTCAGGAGGTTAAGGCAGGAAAGTCACCGCAAGTCCAAGGCCAGCCTGGGCTACATAATGAGTTCAAGGCCAGCCTGAGCTACATAGTGAGACCCTGTCTCAAAAAAAAAAAAAAATCCCTATGTCCAGTGCATTTTAGTCCTATTTAGCGATGTGAGAGATTGTGGTTAGGTGACAGGAGATGCCTTTTAAATTTTTTTAGGTCTTATTTGTTTAGTAATACTATATTTTCTTATCTTCTAGTACAGGTTACTGTGTCTTTGGATCTAACATTGTCACTATCATTTTTGTTTGTAGATGGATTCTGACCAGGAATTACAAGGCTCTTGCCAAAGGAACAAGAGGGAGCACATCTGGTTTCCTTAATATTGTGATGGAACTAAAAAAATGTTGCAACCACTGCTATCTGATTAAACCTCCTGAAGAAAATGAAAGGGAAAATGGACAGGAGATTCTCCTGGTGTGTAATGCTTCTTGTTCTTTTTTTTTTGTTTTGTTTTGTTTTCCGGTACTGGGAGTTGAACTCATGATCTCGTGCTTGCCAGGCAGGCACTGTGCCGCTGAGCTAAATCCCCAGCCCCTCTGTCCCCAACCCCCCACCACCCCCAGGACTGGGAATCGAACTCACGACCTCACGCTTGCCAGACAGGCTCTGTGCCACTGAACTAAATCCCCAGCCCCATCTTGTTCCTAATTATGTACTTGAAAATAGTTTTGCTTCTGTAAATGGTGTCATCAAAATGCTGATTTACCTCCTTAATGACCTTTCAAGGTACAGCAGAAGAAACTTTAAAAACAGAGTACAAAAGTTAAGCTAGAAAAAAAATCTAGGAAGTACAGTGTCATAGATACTAATTGAACGAGCATTTCAGCAAGTATGTGTTTGAACATAATGATTAGAATGTCTTTTAAATCTTTAGTCCCTGATCAGGAGCAGTGGGAAGCTGATCCTATTAGATAAACTATTGACAAGACTTCGTGAAAGGGGGAACAGAGTCCTTATCTTCTCTCAGATGGTGAGAATGCTGGACATCCTGGCCGAGTACCTGACTATTAAGCACTACCCTTTCCAGGTAAGGTGGTTCAGTGTCCAGGCTCACACAGTGTCTCCCTCTCTGTCTCTGTCTCTCTTGTTCTGTCTCTGTGTCTGTCTGTCTGTCTCTCATCTCTCTTGAATTGTTACGTAGAAAAAAATAGTTTTTCTTGTTTGTAAAACATTGAGATAAAAGTAGCATGAGAGTCTCAGTGTTTTACTTCTATGTCTTTAGGCTGCTCTGTAATGAAAAAGCTCATGTCAAGATCATTCTTTTTTTAGGTCAGGGCTAAAGGGATTAAAGAAAGTAAAATTGGGGGCCGGTGATATAGCTCAGCGGCACAGCGCTTGCTTGGCAAGTGTGAAGTTGTGAGTTCAATTCCCAGTACCAAAAAAAACAAAAACAAAAAACAAAAAAAAGAAAGTAAATTTAGGTGTAAGAAAAGATGGTTCTTACATTTTTGAGTCCCTGCTAAAAGTAGAGTGGAACAAAGTGTGAACCTGATTCCAGAAGCCCAAATCATAGAAAGTAAAAGAGAGATGGCAGGTTATACATTTATCACAAAAGAGGCTGACCTTGGTGTGAGACTGGGAACGTAGCAGGACAGGGTGCTTGAACCCTTGCTGGATTTGAGAGCAGTTGATGATGGCCTCCTTCTGTGCAGAATGTCTGTTGATTTTTTTTGTTTGTTACTATTTCTTTGGGACAGGGTCTCACTATATATTGCAGGCTGGCCTTGAATTCAGCTGTCTAACCCAGGCTGGCCTCAGACTCATGTCAGTCCTCCTGCCTCAGCCTCCAGAGTGCTGGGATTACAGGCATGTGCCACCGAGCCCAACTGTGTTGATTTTCATCCTCACTCTATTGTCTTCTTCAGTAGACTATTCCTGGGTGTCTATGAGAAGTTTGTCTCTGGTTTGTTTATAAACATGCAGACACATGTACTATTTACTGACTCTTGACTTTTTAATGGTACTGGGAAGTGAACCTAGGGCCTTCACTTTGAGCTATGTCCTCGGGCCTTTTCTTCTTTTGAGACAGGATTTTAGTAAGTCACTAATTTGTCTAGGCTGGATCAAACTTAAGATCCTTCTTCCCCAGCCTCTCATAGTGCTGCGATTAAAGGCATGTGCTACCTTGCCTCTCGTGGCATAATTTACATTGCTTTAGTTATTAAGGTTTATTTTAAGAAACGAAGAACTTTTCAAATGGTTGAACTATTCTGCCAACTCCTATAATCACACAGGTATTGAAGAAACTCAGTGATTATCTCCTAGGAGGCCCAGCTATAAGACTAATAGTTTGTCTCTCGTGATATCCTGAAAGCAGTATAACATTTCTAATACCTTTTGTGGCCTTTAGCAGCCATCTAAAATGTAGTTTAGTGCTCACTGTGGCTGTTATAAAAAAACAGCACAGCACAAAAAACATGATTATCTCTCAGTGCATCTGATCCCTGAGAGCTTTCATTTCTGGGTAATCGTACAATGTCTGGTAAATCGGGAATGGATTGCTCTCTCTGGGGAATAACTAAGCTAGGGACTTTTAGGTAATTGGCTTAGTGTCTTATATTTGTGGGAATATTTAAAGTAGGGCATTTAAGTTTTCTGATTTTATGTAGGTCATGAATTTGCCATTTCAAAGTATCTTTAGTTCAAGGCTAGCATTGTAGTCAGTTCGCATGGGAGCCGACCTGGGTTTAGGGGGTTGTGTGTCTGGTAGCAGAGCCCTGGGGAGATGTAAGTTTGCCTACAGTCAATTGGGTACCTCCTGGGTCAGTTTTGCTTGGTGTGAAATGAATTGTTTTCATCTCAAATCCTGGTTGTAGGAAGAAAAAATGGTATGAATAGTGAGGAATGCTTTATGTACGTCGTACGGGAATAATTCTTCAGTAGTTGTTTGTATCACATGGTTTCACTGTGGCGACGCAGTTTTGTACTCCAAACTGACACATGCTCTGAGAAAATAAATGTATGTACTGGAGAATCCCAGATGCTCTCCTGAATTGATGATGTGGTTTGGTTTTGGAACACTCCACTCTCACTTGAGAGCAGTTTTTGGAAAGCTGGTATAATGTTTTAAAACTTCAGTGTTTCAGCAAAATATTTTTTAGACAAATTTATGTAAATTTTTTGGTTTATGTGGAATTTAATGGTGATATTTTTACTCCACTACCTAAGAAGCATCATTTTTCTACAGGAGTTGGTTACAAGGTGACCAGTGGTACTATTTTGTAATCGCTCCAGTACCTGCAAATATAGAAGTAAACCAAATCTCTGAGCACAGTCCAGGTTTTCATCTTTTTCCTTGTAGGCCTGGACAGCCGTTCCGATCCTCAGATTATCTAGACAGAGCTCTGGATCAGAAGCCTGTGACCTTGAGTGTGTAACTGAAGCCTCAGGTCACATAGGCTGTCATGCTTACGCACAGCCCCTTTGTGGCACTTGGCCAGTGTGTTCTGGTTATTTTTACTTAGAGGGTGTTTGGGTGATAAAGGTTGCAACTCCAGTATTCTATTCTGAGTGTAGCTGATCTTCCTACATTATGATTTTCTTGTTTATTTTTCCAGCGTTTAGATGGCTCCATCAAGGGAGAAATCCGAAAACAGGCACTGGATCACTTCAATGCAGATGGGTCTGAGGTACACCATGCATGGGTTTGTTATTTGGACTTCTTGGGTTCTGTATCAAGGGGAAAGTCTTTCCAACTTAGTTTACTGTGTTTCAGAAACATATCATAGTATATTTCTCCTCTCCTAAAAAAAGAGTGAGAAATCTATACTATAAAAAAAAACCCTATTTTGTCATTACTCCTTAAAAGGACTTGCATGTTTAGCTCGCCTAGTCTAACTTAGTGACAGTTCAAGATAAATTTATGGCCTTGAATGAAGAGGGCTGGCTAGTAGGATTAATTTCTACATGTAGATCAGAAATTCCTGATCTGTACTTTTTGGTGGCTATAGCTTGAACAATATGTCTCAAATTTGTGGGATTTCTGGTATTACTATTAAATTACTAAATGTTCCCACTTGTATTTGGCAATTAAAGTATTTTGTTTCGGGTGTGTATATCTAAGAGCTACCTGTAGTGAAACCGATTACATTCTAGTTAGTGCATACGAAGTTTTTAGATGACATAGGTCATGGGAGAAGTAGGGGAGAAAAGCCTGAGAGTAATTAAAGCTGTAGTAATTTCTACAGGTAAAGGAAGCAACGGAAAGAGCCTAGAGGTAGAACAAGAAGTGTTTTAAAGAGGTTACTAAATTATGAAGCTTGGGTTCCTCTTTTTCTTCTTTTTTTTAAAAAAAACAATAGATTTAGGGTTCTTTCTGAAAACTTTAAAAATTCCTTTTTTTGAGGCCGGGCTTCACTGTGTAGTTCAGGCTGGCCTTGAATTCACTCTGTAGTTGGCTCAGGTTCGCAGCAGTCCTCCTGCTTCAGCCTTCCCTGTGCTGAGATTACACGCGTGCACCACCAACACCCTGCTAGAAATTCCTTATGTCCCCTCCTTTATTGCAGAATGATATCTTTCTCCCTCTAGTTTAGCAGATAGTTCCTGTTAGACTAGTAGTTTGGCTACTTTTGAAGCCTAAAATTTTAGTTCTTTTGAGGTGCTTTGGGCACTAACCTGTTTAGGACCTATGCTCTGACTCATTCGTTAGTGAGGAATTGAATTTCTAAAACCATTGGTCATCATCCAGGTCTCACCCTTCTTCCCTCCTCCCTGTTACCTCAACTCAAAATTATAGTTTCTAAAACTTCATAATATTGCTGTGGGGATTAAATTTGGTAGTAAAGCATTGATCATACTGCCTGGCCCATAGTGAGCCCTCAAAAAATGTCAGCTGTGTTTTAGTATGTAGTCTTGTTGAAATTGATTTTGTGTTCCCTACTCTTAAAATATAGTATGGATTGAATGTTGCTTGTTGCCCTTCCTTAAGGAAAAAAAAAAAAAAAAAGCTAGTTTTTTTTGCCTAGTTCTCTATTAGTCTCCCTCTCTTATTGGTATACACATAAAGTAGAGGCTGTCTTTGGGAAGAGGGTTTGTGCAGTTTTTCTTCTCAGTGCTCTTCATTATCTTTTGAAGTTGCAAATGAGCATACAATAATTGTAATAATATTTAACATTTAATTTTAAAAAGACTAGAGAACCATTGTTTCCTTATTTATCTAATTAGGGTCATGCTGCATATAGTTTTGTCATCTTTTATTCAAAATTATACCTTGAACATTTTTCCCATGTCATTAAAGAATTGCAAAATTTTACTTTTTAATATTTCTTTATGTGTGCACCATTATTTAGTCATTTTTTGTTAGAAATATTTTCATAATTTTTTAACCTTTGTCAGGTTTTTTTGGTTTTTTTGGGGGGGGGGGCGTTTTTGAGACAGGGTCTTATTTTTTTTTTTTGGTTTTTCTCCGGTACCGGGAACTGAACTCATGA